GTGTGTGTGTGTGTGTGTGTGTGTGTGTGTGTGTGTGTGTGTGTGTGTGTGTATGTGTCTGTGTGTGTGTTCACGAGGGCCGGTTCTGTTTATCAGGGAGGTACGTTCCTTTTTATCTACCTAGGGTTGTGTGATAATTAAGTTGGTCTCGGAGATATTGTGGGTGAGGGGTAGAGATATTTGATCGGGTAATTTCATAAATTTGATTCCATCCTTTCAGGCTCCCACAGAGGCGGTCTCACCGAAACGTTAGCCATTAAGGTATTATAACCTCGTGTAGAGTTGTAAAAACAAATGTCGCCAATTTAGTATAAAGTTCATCGAGAGCCATACGTGGAGATGGAGCTCCTGTTCAAACTTATCGCTTGCAAAGTGTGTAGGCTGGAAGTCTGGGGTTGGTAAATGCCAGTCTCTGTCCAGATAAGAGAGGCGTGATGTAAAAGTAACAGAAACAACCACTCATTCAGGCCAAGTATTCAAATGGAAGCTGTGTATGAGGTGGAATCCATCGAAACTTCCAAGGTAGATGGAAGGAGTGTATGGTAGAAAAAATGTTCCTGTCATCTCGCTGAGTGACCTTTTCAGAAAGTCAATCAATATAATGGTTTGAAACGGATGAGACCTTTTCGTCTCTATAAAGCAGCTGATACGCTTGAAACCCAAATCCTTATGTTAGAATACTCGGCAGCATTGCTACAATCTTCCTAGATCAGTTCTCCACACGCTACCCCGCAGCTCAATTGACAATAATCTTCTCTCAGTAGGCAGTCCACAAGAGCATTCGCAACGAAATCTGTACTATTTAGTTGTCCGAATTACAGGAACGAAAATTCAGTCCCGCACTCGGCTCTTACAGTAATCCGGCACGTGTTAACACGCAAATTTTTACCCGTCACATATACGACGCGTCGAAAAGGGGTTTTGAGCAAGGACACGAGGGATGGAGGTGGAGTAAGCCAGGGGGTTACTGTAAGAGCCGAGTGCCGGACTGAACCCCTGTTTTAGTGTACAAGTCCACTTCTTATCGAATCTTTTTCCCATCAAAAGGTAGATATATTCAAGTTTTGCTGGGGGTATTGGTTGGAAGAACTATAGTTCGATATCCGGGCAATGAAGCCATTCATCACTTGGGATGCTTCGTATCAGATTTGTGAATAAGTCAACGTTACCACGATTCCGTTTGGAATCAAGAAAAACCACTTTGTGGGCAAAAACTCACATTTGAACAGAGCTACAGCGAAAAACAGATACAGCGAGATGTACTTGAATGACCGCATCTCACGCTCTATGATGAATAATGAAAAGGCACCCAAACCCGAACGTGTTTATTATGATAGTCTAAGATCACATTTTCTCGGAAATTGTTTCATAGTCACAACAGCAGGCTACAGTCTTGTTGTTGACAAACGATTGCGTATAGCATCATTATCCCGAATAGACATGTCGTTGGAAAACTGCTGCGATATGCTGGATATTGTCTGCCTAGGCCTATCTTCCTCTGCACAGCTTTCATTGACTTCTTCTTTGACGACTTTCGTATATAACGGTGCAGTATCAACAACAGTCCAAGTCGCAAGTTGACATATACGAGTGATGTAAGCTGAATACAATGTAATTCAAGTTGAGAGACATCACTTTGCTGCGACGGCCTTCTGAGTAAATCATTAGTTTTATAAAAAAAAGTTACCATCCATCTTCAGAAGCAATTGAGGTTTGTTCTTCGGGCGGACAAAGACGTAGTAGCTGCCTTAAGCAAGAAAACTTTTGAAAGATAAAACACAATACAAATACAAGCTCAAGAGGGGTGAAAGGTGGACGGTAGGGGGATGGGGGGAAGGGGGTAGGGTAAAGACACTTTGTTTTCCTATTTTTAGCCCCGCTTACCTTTAGGCTCTTCCGGAAATTCCATCTTTCTGGCTAACGACCTCTTCCAACCTCCCTACATGCCGGCAAAACCGGCGTCTTATCCTTCTCTGGATGTTGGCCATCTGCGTTAAAGACGGAGGCCGAGTGGAGTGGCCAACTCCAACCACATCTTCACTTTGAATTGAAATATGTGGTTCGTCTGGGTATGGGTACATTNGCGCCGAGTGGAGTGGCCAGCTCTAACTACATACATCTTCACTATGAATTGGAATATGTTATTCCCCTGTTTGCGTGTTTCTATGTCTTCATTCGACTGTTCTCAAGTCGATCCAATGCTAAACGGATAGGTTGAACCATATATTCGAAAAAGGTCCCACAAGGTGGTGGAAATATTCTGATGAAAGGCAATGTAAGCTGCCCCGGCTCGCAGCGCTACCATACGTCAATGTTTTACTTGTAGCCGCTCTAACAAGGGAAGGATCCCAAGTCGAAGTGGCCGTTTAAAATGGGACCTATACTGCTAGGCGTATTATTTGATGCTGATTTCAAATCTGCATTCAAAATCTGCCAAACGATTCTCTGAACGAAGTTATGGAGGTGGTCTCTTGGGAACGCTCAACAGGGGAAAGCACAAAAGCCATGATCGCCGGCAGGCCAGCAGTGGCGGCTTGGAGTGGAGGCAAGCGTGACGCTTCATAGGCGTGGGACCAAGGGTCGGGTTTGATGGGCGACGGCGTTTTTGCATCTTGCAGGACTTTTTTCTCCAAGCTGGAAAAATCTTGTTATGTTAGTTTTACTGCCTTCAGCGACTTTACAGTTGCTGGGGGCGAGTCAGTTCCTTCTTCAAGCGTCCGACATCTACTCCAATCACCAACATTACAAGAATTCCATTCTTATTGCTGATAACTTCATTGTAAGATAACTTTTACCTATTATAAGGGGAGCGATAATCTAGCACGGAGTGTCCAAAACAAGTCTTGCACAATGAGCGCAACGAATGAAAAAAATTGTTCCACTTTTCTGATAGCACTTTCCACCTGGATTTGTTTGTTATCTTGCTCTAACAAACGTTCTGGAAAGGAGAACCTGCATCTGCTCTTTGGACACTTCCACATAACCATACATCAGCGAACCTCTAGGTATGTTGCTGTTTCCTCTTCATCATCCAGGTCCCACACTAGATCAGCCTCCTTTTCCTCAATCACTCCTTCGCCCTCAATATTGAGGTCTTCGTAAGAGGGATTCTGCAAAGTAGAGGAGAAATGTCGATCAACTTGTGCTCCTACCCTGTAGGGACGCGTACAACATCACAGGATCCGAAATACTCCTTGTTCTTTAATGGTACATCCATCCATATACACCACACTTTTCCCGTTTTCGACATGGCAACCCTTACCTTTATTGAAAACTGACCACAACCCCACCTTCTTCAAAAACTAATCGATAACAGTGGAAGATGGTTTAGTTAGGAACTGACTCGCCCCCAGCAACTAAAAAGTTGGTGAAGGCAGTAAAACTAACGTAACAAGATTTTTCCAGCTTGGAGAAGAAAGTCCTGCAAGATGCAAAAACGCCGTCGCCCATCAAACCCGACCCTTGGTCCCATGCCTATGAAGCGTCACGCTTACCTACACTCCAAACCGCCACTGCTGGACTGCCGGTGACCATGGCTTTTGTGCTTTCCGCTGTTGAGCGCTCTCCGGAGACCACCTCCACAACTTCGTTCCGAGAATCGTTTGGCAGATTTTGATTGCAGATTTGAAATCAGCATCAAAAAAGACGCCTAGCAGTATAGGTCCCATTTCAAACGGCCACTTCGACTTGGAATCCTTTCCTTGTAAGAATGACGGTTTTTAAGGATTTGGGGGGAATACACTGAATAGTGTTTGATGGTGGAAATGCTCCTACATGGTCTATTCTTTTTCATTCTTTAGGATTCCGAACAAATGAGATGATATGCTGTTCTGCCCTTGGGTATTTATGACTGGGTTCGAACTTCCATTCTCTTTTGATCTAATACAGTGGTACCCCTCTCATTACGGACTCTTCGACAGTAACTGGATGAAGGAACACTCGAAAATGAATAAATAAATGGTTGATTTTTACCTACCGACTCCTAGAAGAAACAATCCAAAGCCAATGGCGGACTGCACTGGCTCCACTACTACAGGTATAACGAGCAAGGCTATGATAACAAGCAAGTTCAAAATAGGCCAGAAAATATGGAACTGTAAGGAGATGTGTTAAACGTCAGCAACAAACACTCAAGCACTTTATGCAAGTCGTTATTTATAAAATGACAAAAGGAAACACTTTCCTCGACAGTAACAGTTTGAGACCAAATCCTAATAGCAACACTGTTTTCGAATGATTAGGAGCTCTTTCTGGGTTCACCATAGGTATGATCACCGTCGGAGTAGTATTGTAACACGGCATACCTTGGTCATCCGATTCTCGATAAGGAGCCCGTTATCGTTTTTCTTGTAAAGATATTCACGTTCTCTCCCTCCACTCACTTCCTTAATAATTAGCCCATTAATCTGTCGCCATCGTTAACGTCTGAAGCCTCCATATACTGTTTCGCCTGTTTGAGGCAATGTCGGCGATATCAAAAGCGGATTGTCCCTATCTCATATGTGGGTGCCGGGACTTCTCCCGAATTCCCACGGCAAGCGGCAAAAGCCACACGGCGGCTGCTATCCTTGCACTGGGAATTCAAACCTCTCTCTTCAAAGCGCGAGATCGGGGAGAAGGTACCAGACCCCTACCGCAATTTATGGTCTCTCACAAATGAGAGAAAATCTGTAAGGATGGTACCCAGCGCTTCATCAAATTGAATAGAGGAATTAAAACTTCTGGTGTACGTCACTCGCCCTAGTAACTGAGGTAACCGTGTGTCGTGGAGTGAGGTGAAATGCCGACGTCCTTTGTGCAACTGAAGGCGACTATCCAATCCTATAATGTACTTTTGACAAGTGTAATTGTGAGAAATTGAACGTGGCCTGAATTCAGTGCTTGTCTAGCGTCGGTGGGCCTCACATGCAGGAGGCTCGAAACCTTGTCGGTACTGTTCGCTCATTGCCAAGCCACATGAATGCTTGAAATAATCTGTGACCAGGAAAGCTTTATTGTACAGCATTTCCCTTACCCTCTCTCTTTCTCCTTGTGCAACACTTTAGCCTACCATAATGGTGAATTATAGGGTAATTATTTGGCATGAGCAGAAAGAACTTGAAAAAGTTTGAGGAAATGATCATGAAAATAGGTGAAGCAGAAACGATCGGATGATCGAAAAAAATAAAAATTACCTTCACTGCGTTCGCGCTGACAGGAATATTCCTCCATTTGATGAGGATAAGAGCCGCAAGAGAGAACATAGTTGACAAGAGAGCTACCACCGTCAAATAGTTCACAAGAGTATAGACATTGCCAATCAAGCAAAAGACCATACACAGAATAGTCTGAAACAATCAAATCACTACTAAACGCTGTTTTTCTGATAAAAAACGAACAAGAACAGATATGCAAACAGCGCCATGACCTCAGAGCATATCATTTCTAAAATTCTGGTGAAGTTGGAACACTTCATCATAATCGTGCAATTCTGCGGGCATGCAGCTTGCATCATCTGCTACTTGGCAGAAAAATTCATGATAGGGAACGGACGTTTGCATCTAGCCTACCCAGATTCTATCCTGCTCAAACCAAAATTTCGGATCTGTAAAGTGAGGTAAAAACTGGAACTGCGATCAATTCAAAAAATTCCAGATTGACCAGTTGATCCCGTAATGTGCGTTCTCACCCTGATTGAAGAACTCTACCAACATAGCCCTGAGCAGCGGTCCACCTCATAATATCATTTTATATGTTGGGCTTGGGACCGTATAAGATCCTAGCACCCGAAAATCTTGTTCAAGATTTGACATGGTTTCTTTCGGAGCTCATACTTTCTTGACAATTGGTGTTATCCTTAGCGCCATCCAACATAGTCATTCACTTCTCTCCAAATGGTTCAGTTCTCGTGAAAAGGGAAGCACACCTCCTGATTTCAATCTGCAGTTCACTCTATGATCAGTGTCCAACTTTGCCGATGAATCTCTTCATTTTTCCTTAGTTATACCTTTCACTTCTTAAGTTGTAAACCGCAGTTCTCCACCAAGCTTCACCCAGATGATGTTTCGGCGCTTCCGCCTTCCTAGGAAAGGGGAAGCCACTCATTAAACTCTACGACCAGGCTTGGTGGAATGTCCTCCACGCTCAGCAGACAGACATTCCACCAAGCGTGAAGAGGTCTATCCTTAGGTTCCGTTCACGTACTTCCTTCTTTTTTCTTTTCTTATTCACTTTCTTGATTTTGCTCTATGTCTATTGAAGGTTCCTGTTACGTTCGTGTTAGTTTTTGCCCCCTTGATTCAGCTGGCCGTCAATAAAATTGAAGACCAAAACAAGCGTTAGACAATGTTCACCCCATGAGACGTTCATTCAGGATCAAAACGTATTTTTTAGAATTGTTCAAAGCTTGGGTTCCTTGTCCCAATCGTCTCGATCACTGCATTTCACTTGATCTGATGTTTCCTTCCTTTTTTTGGGCAAAAGTGTACTAGCTTGTAAGGAGCGTCAGACCAATTTTCTTTAATTCTTTGCAGGCTCGTCTCTATACTGATAAAGTTGAAGGGTTCTATGGACAAATTGTAGCCACTAACTTATGCCGTGCTTACAGGTGTGATAACTACAGTTATTACCTCGAAAAATGTTTTTATTGATCTCGCAAGGAGAGCACCTCGTACGCAGTTTATGATATAGCCAGTTCAGGCCACAGACGTTGTTTCAACGCCGCACCAACGTTAGAAAAGCGTTTGTGTCCCATGGAAGATCGTTCCATGGAAATGCATGTACCTACATATTTGCATTGCCGTTTCTAGGCTCATAACCATGACAGCTCATGGGGACTCGAAAGTCCTTCGGCTGATAGCTTCATAAGAGATAAGGTGCTAAGTATAAATCAAAACGAAGATAATTACATGAGTGAATACTGCAGGCCGCGGACTATCATTGTCAGGATGAATGAGTGACCATAGCGAGGGCATCATTCCTCGACGAGAACCAGCCAACAAGTATCTGAACAGATAAATGGTGACCAGAGAGAAATTATATAGTTGGGAGAGTGAAAAACAGTAGACTCAGAGTCAGAGCAAGTCACCTGGACCAATCTTTGAGTTGACTGGTATATACTAAATGGTAACTGCTTGATTAGTGAGGGATACCTATACTTTATTACGATACGTTGAACCCGAAATACTATGTCAGTCATTTCCAACAAGAGAACAGAGGTGCAAATCAGTCCAAAAATCATCGAAAATACTTTGATGCCCAGAACAGAATTGGGATTCGATGAATCGACAATGTGCTAGCTTTACTGCTGCTGCTATACTGCTTTACTTACTTATACTCACATTCACTTATGATTCCTTGTTACTCCTCATGTTTCACACCCAGTCTTTTGAAGTATAATAATATGACGGGGCTTACAGTACGATTCCGGTGCACGGGTATGTATAAGCAAAAGTCACCTGCTCCAAGCAAATATCTCTGCGTTGACACTACCAAGCATAAGAAATCCTATAAGTGCTGGCATTGCATACGAGAATGAGCCGATGGTTTGCTGAGCGAACGTCTGGAATTATTATTTACAAATATTCATTCGAATATATAAAAAGTACATCTACTTTCCAGTAACACCCTCCAGCACTTTCTTTTTTCTCTTAGAAAAACTCATTCGTATCACTTCTAGGTTCTGAGCGCACTTTAGAACCGATCTGAGACCGGTAGCTAAATTTTTCGATTCAGTAGAAGAGTACAATTTCTATGATTTTCAAAAATAACCGCGCAAGAGGAAATCCAGTGAGCTCTGATCAAAACAGCATTGTGTGCATGTCATTCTTAAGAAAGAGTTATGGCAATATAAACACGAGGGGGTGCGTCAGAATCACATTTCTACGATTTATAAAGATTTTTGGAAGACTTCAAAACCCTGGGAAATCAGATAGCAAGAACCGCACCGTTGCGACAGCCGAAGAGTCGAGTATTTGTTGAGGCGTGAGTACAGCAAAATACGCTATATTCGCTAAGACGTAGATTAGTGCAGTCACAAGGAGCCCACCAAGCACTGCTACCGGGATAGTCCTGAAAAGGGAAGTGAAGTGGGAAAAAACAAAAACACTTTTCAGCTTCAACTATTCAGAGATTGGGGTTGAGGGAAGATGGCTGATACCGGCTGATAAATCGTAGTCTTATTTTATTGCTAGGTGCCCCATGAAGCACGGATCACTCTATTGGAGCGGGGAGAAACGTTATTTCACTTGAAGGCACAGCTCATGATAGAAATGACATGTAACATATCCACCTAAGATGAATCTGTGGTCCCCCCTTCGGGCCGGAAAACGGCCTAGATAGGGCACCATAAAGGCTCAAAGATTGTCCCATGCGTATCCCCGGACGATTTTCACCGACATTTTAGAGGCTGCACCGATCACGAGGGAGCCCATGTAGGAAGTTCAAACAACTTGTCATGACCAATAGCGACAATGAGAAGCAGTTCTGTATAATTTTGGCTTGTTGCAATCCGCTCTTTACGCAAATGCAACAACTGAAATCTCGTTCAAACACCCCTTCCATGTGATTGCCGTAGTGGTGCCACCGATGCACTACTCCCACCCAATACTTCCTATTTAGGACTTGAAAAGGGTACCCAAATTGGCGAAAACTTTGTTTTGTGCCAATTGCTCAATCAATATCAATCAAACAACCCTTTTTCCTCACACTATCGATCCAACAGTTTCGAATTGACTCACCCATAATATTTGGAACAACTTATTTACAAGTAACCTCAACGTAACTCTTGAAGTTTTTTATCTGGATATCTTCCATGCCGTAATTGAGGATTGTATAGCCGGCGTAGGCCCAGTTGCCTTGGTATAAGGCGAGCACAATTTGACTAACTGACCAGTCACTGTCTTTGAAAATGTAGTCCTTGCTGAAATGCTGAGTATCACCTGAAAAAATCAGTCATTTTTCATTACCAGCCCATCGAAAACGTTAGCCAAAATTGACGTCGTTGGCTTTTGAAGCTGGGATTTCGAGGAAGACCTCAAGATCAAAATGACCGAACGAGCAAGAAAAATCACTTTTGTGAAACTTGATAATCGCTGGTCACTGGGTCCGATTGAGGAGTTACAACAGGCTCCGGACGGCTAGTGTCAATTGACAATTTTCATTTCCAAAAAATTTTCGCACGCGTTCTTTCGCTAGCCGGTATGGTTTGATGGACACTTCTTGCTGAAGGGACACAAAGCATATCTTAATGTTCGACTGCTCTGCCGAACGGGTTTGGTTTGACCGCTTCCTTTGGTCGAGGTTTCGAACATCTCGTCCTCTTCGAAGACCCGAATGTTTTCAGTTGAAGCCCAATCTGTAGGTCACCCGATTGAGCGCCCAAACGCGTTATGCTAAATGCAACAACTCAAAGTAACTCGAACGTCGGAAATCCCAGCCAACAAGGAACCGATGAGTCAGAGGTCATCAATGTTGTCTCTTTGGTCTCTTGCTGTTCACGTAATAAACGAAATCGTGATCGAGTAAGACCTTAACGGCTGTAGAACCACAGAAGGTTGGTTACATGACTTCTTTTCTTCCTCTGCATATTGCCCTCTATCTAGTGCTTCGACCACCTCATTGGGAGCAATTTAGGTGAAAAATCTAGCGTACAGATAGCGTTTCAGATTTTTGAAGGGTACAGCGTCTAGGTCTTGTCCCAACTCCTCAACGAGCCCTGCACATTTCAACAAACACTGAACGCAAGGTTAGATCAAACAAAAGGAAAAACAAAAGCCATACCTTTAAATATCATGTAGAACAGACCGATTGATATGATCATAATCAGAGCTGCAATCTTAGCTGCCATACTGACAAACTGAATTCGACCTGCGAATCGGCTAAGCGAAAACATATTGAGCAGCGATGTCGAAACTGAAATAAGTATTTCTGAGACTTTTAACCTCTACAAACACACCGATTCTAGTAGCCATCGTTTCAAGAAAGCGCTGAACTGTCCATCCATTTCTTTGATACTTGCTAAGTGACTTATGATAGATCCCAGGATTCCCTTTGCTGCCCGAATCCCTCACCCGGCCACCCAAAAAGAGCATCCATAAAGGAAGAAGGTGCTCATAAACTTACGCAGAATGCCATATGCAAGAAGTAGTTCTGCGGTTTTTCGCTTATCATCGTCCAGACAGGCGATCGGAGTGACTGCTTCCATGATATATTGTCCAAAGGTGAGTGCCAACGCTGCTCCACTGCATGAACTGAACACATCAAAGAATATGTGGGCGGGAGCTGAGTAGAAGTGAACAAAACCTTTCTATGATGGAAGTCAGCCAAAGAAATGAGAAAGCGACTGGATACCACTCAACATAGCTGATGTAGGCGAATTCGGCACCCGACTCCGGTATGCTAGTACCAAGTTCGATGTAGTTCTTGAAAAGTTCTGATTGGAGCAATGCTATAACAACAAAGAAACAGGAAAGGATGAACCTTTTCTCTCAAGCCTGTGGTGATCAAGATTGAATGGAAACCTTTCTAGCCGAACGATGTCTGTTGAACTAGGAGGAGGGGCATTAATTGAGGAGATAAGAAAATCAGTTTTCCTAGGAAAGCCTCATGTCTTGCTCATCGCAACATCATAGTACTAAACATGAAGAGCAATCAACAAATCAGTCGAGCACGTTAATGAGGGCCCTAGCAGAACTCCGACCCCATCTATAAACATAAGTGAGCTTTCTTTGAACACATCATTACTTCAGTTGGATGAGGTCATGATGACGAAATGGGTGTTCGGACGAGATTTCAACTGCCGCCGAGTAAAGTGTGTCAGTAGGTATACCATTTGACTAAACCTGTTCTTCCAGCGTCGTTCCTATATAAGCTGCACCTTTGTTCGCAATCTTACTGGGCTTCCTCATACAAAGTATGTAAAAATGAGTTTCGAGGAGTGAGACATACTAGCAAGGACTTCTAATGGTCCTTCTTGCTTTATTTTTTTTTGCATACAATCAGGTTAATAATTCATCTTGCACAGCGAAAAACTCACAATTGCGTTTAGAGCCGCCAAGAAAGCTGATGCTACCCAAATTATTAGTGACAATCCTACAGAACCAGTGTATTGAAGAATTCCTTTCGGAGAGACAAATATACCGGATCCAATCACAGAGCCAATAATATAACTGGTGGCCCCAAGTACGCCGAGTTGGTTCACTTCTTTCCGGGTCATTCCCTGTAATTGTTTTTTACTGATTATAGTTGTATTTGTCTACGTCAAAAACGTCGCCAAACAGTTCTGGTAGTGATAGGGAATCCAATGTGACAGGAAAAAAATTAAAACGCTTATCTCATGTAATGCCTCCAAGGGATCTTAAACATGTGCCTGGTTCGATGCAATTAAATTGGATGAGAAAGGTGTGATTTTTAATCACATGAGTACATCAAAACATAAAGCTCTACAGAATCGTCATGGAGTTGCGATTGATGAAGTTCCACGAGAGAACGAAAACAGTATTTGTAAAATCGGCCTCAACTCCGCCAT